TATATATATTTATACTACACACACACACACTATATATATATATATATATATATATAGATATGTATGCATGCATATATAATTATAATATAATATACATATAAATATAACTACATATATATATATATATATATATATATAGTACACAAACGCATACATGGGTATATAATATTGCACTTTTTGATAGGATTTATAGGTCAGCACACAAAACAAACCCCTATTCGTATATTTACGTATGTATACCGATATCCAGGAAGAATGGCGTACAGTCATGATATGTATATGTATGAATTTTAATAAATCGCATGCATGTAAATATCAGAAGTGCGGCCCGATCGTATATTCAGTCACCAGCGCTAAGATATATATACATATAATTACGGGCACAAATTATTATCATCCACAAAATTAGAATCGACACTATACATTGATCCTATATACGGCCATGGGATGAGCTGTCATGATAACATACCTTGTCAGTACCAATCGCCTTGCTGTCAAATCGGTCCACCACGACAGACGGCCCCTCTCCGCTGGGCTTGTTCATTTGGAAGGCAAAGATTCTGATACACATTCAAGCAAGCACAAGAGGGAATGAAAAATCAGCATATAGCGTACGTAAGTGGGTGTATATATATGCCGATTGAGGACATAAGCCTGAAAAAGAAGATCGAAGGTGGTACTTTCTACTGAGCTTATAGATATGGTTGCGTTTTCCTCAGTGACACGAACATCGAATTGAGGAAACAACAGGTAGATAGTGCAACAGAACGGGCTCCCAACGAGGCCAGGTATACAATTGTAAATCGCACAAGGTTCGCTCAGCCCATAGCAACCACCTTGTATGAAGGCGGGAACACGCGTGTCCTTGGCAAACGAATAGGGGACGGATAACCTCATGGATATGGCAGACGGATCAGAATTAACGCCACGTGTTGCTGAGTGGAAATCGATGAACACGCACACGCACACGACATCGAATGAAGTACACTCCTGCGCATTTTTTGCAAAGGAGGAGAGTTCACACACTTATGACCAGAATTATGTATACACACCCATCTTACATTAAGAGATTCGTAGCGGTATGCTGCAAAGCACACATACCGATCAAGTCGGCCGTATACATACAATGAGCCAACCATGCAGCACAAGCGATTCACTTCGGATGTAACAAAAACAAACACCGATAATGTAATACTCATCGTACAACTCCTCCTCTGAAACACACCCCACATACACACAACAAACCCAATCCAAATGGCCACACAGCTAGCACATACCTTCCTCCCGCAGGAGCGAGACCCTCTCTCGCTGCCTTGACGGTATCGTACTGCCTGGCCTCAGTCATGTCACATTCACACTATATACACCCCACATGCAGACAAACAACCCATCTAA